TCTGCAAGTATATTAAAGTTACCCTTACTAATGGTACTAATAATAGATGTTTATTTAGTAAAGAAAAGATAGACACTTTCATACCAAATAAAAGAAAGAAAACCTTATTATAGAGCAGAGGACAGAATTTTGCACTACAATCAGTGATGCTATTGATATTTTCACCTATCATCTAGACTTAAATTCAAAAAATAAAGATAAAATGAAATCATTACCAGTGTTTCACGTCAGTCAACATTCTGTATAAAATTAGCAGAATGTAATGTAGATCCTACAATTATTAAAGAATTTGCTAAAGATAAGGATCTTATTCAAGATTCTAATAAAATTTAGAAAAAACAAACTAAAAAGTAAATAGCTAATTCAGATAAAATCTGAATTCTAAAACACTTATCATCAGTGAGAATGCTTAAAAGGATTTAGAATATAGATATTTCTAAAGTTTCAACTAAAGAAGATCTAATAGATGTGATTATAATGTTGAGTATAAGACCTGCAGAAATGAGATCTCTTCAGATTAATCACTATGAAATTGACCTATCCAATCCTCCAGTATGGTATGAAAATGGTTATTCTTGGTATTGTACAGGCTATTTAAAATATAAAAGAGAAAAGAAGGAGAAACTTGATCCTAACTATTTCTTTCTATTGAGAAAAATCCAGAATGTGTAAGAGAATTGCTCATCTGGATTCAAGAGGCTATCAAAGTAGGAAAGTTATAAGATCCTGTCTATACTGAAAGTGGAACACATAATGCTTGGCCATTTAATGAATTTTTAAAGCAAAAGCCTTATAAGTCTATCCTAAAGGATTTAAGAGAATATGGAGCTAAATACGCTTCTAGAGCTTACAGTGATAAAAAACAATTTCTAAAAATCTTAAATGCCTTACGAGAATTACATTAAAGCAAGAATCTGACTGTCTTAATACAGGTGATAATTATGCTATAGGTAATACAGAATCAGAGGATTCTAAACTTAAAGATGAGCATAACTCAGACCTGAAATCAGAGTCTATAAAAAAATGATGAAATATCTGATATTATCATATGTATAGCTATTAGCAATACACTTTTGGCAAATTTTGCTAGATCCATTATCAATATGCGTAATTTTATTTTTTGTTTAAAAATACAGCATATATAATTTATGACATATACAAGCATTTTTATTATACTAAAACTATTAGAACAGATTTTACATTTTTTAGTGATAGATAAATCCTTCTATCCTATTTTATTTGTTAGTCGACTTTAATACAAATGTAATACTCCTATTCTATGAAAACACGTTAAGTTAAAGGAAAATGACACATATCACTCTCAATTGAAAAAATTTATGAAAATAATGTATAAAAAATAAAAGCCAGTTTATAGCTCAAATCTAACCTATCTGAAAATTTCACACTATTACCCACTTTCAGATAAAAAATTCAATAGCATTGTATGCTTGTTTTCAAATATAATTTATTTAGATTTCAATTATAGCATAGGATTTAGCAATAAAATACTAAAACGAATAGCAGAATCATATCCCAATCTGAAGTATCTTAATTTACAAAAGGACAAATATATATCCTGTAATATGGGCATAATAACTGATGAAAGTCTATATGCAATTGCCCTGTTATGCCA